GGATTTTGACAAGGTGGCCCTTCTTCTTCAGCTTATATAATTTCCAGGTTTAGTAAAGTGATCAGTGAAACCGATCAATTTGTTTGCTACCCATAAACAAGATAAAGATAAAAACGAGTCTTCAAGCAATATGATGCTTTAGAACTGTGACTGTGATGAATGAACCTACGTTTCAGGCTGATTATTCTCTCAAGTGGACCAATAAATGTATCTAACACTCTATTGCATGATGTCAATCGCTGTAAGTGATGTGGAGGTTGTATTTCGCAAAAGACATAATTTCCATTGAGGTTGAAGATACGCTTCCCAACAAACACGAACCTAGGTTGAACAACGTTTCCCTACCGGTTGCCGTTACCCAACCTACATCAACATATTGTTGACTACATCACAAAATGATCGACACAGACATGAAACTGGTGAGTATAGAGTGACCGACTATTCTGGGTACCCTCCAAATAGTTTGAAATCATCACATCAAGATAAAGCCATTCCATGACAATTTAAACAAACAGAGAATATTATTTCATGAAGTAAAAACATGAAAGACACTCAATAAATCAGTCAATATCAACATAGGACCAGGCATTGCTGCGCAACCATCCGAGCTGCCACACCTCAAGTCAGTACACCGAGTAGAAAGGTAGTGAAGTGAAGAATGACGATCAGAGAATGCAGTCAAAACAAATATAAACTACGAGAAGAAATGAAAGAGAAGCGACAAAACGGTGAGAATCGGCATAGTGTAGTTAAGATGACGAAAATGCGTCTGGCGACACATCTGCGCCACCGACATCAGTTCTCAACCATATCCCCTATTCTCCTACAACTGGTTCATCTGGTCCCGCCGACTCCAATCACCTAGTCTGCATCGCCCTACATGACTCAAACCAACAGTCAAACACTACATACTTTGATGCCATGTTTTAGTCTGGCCACCTCGGGCCTTTTCCCAACCTGGACCCACCTCAGCCAACATTGTGTGACGAGGCAATCGGTGACTGCACATACGTAGTACGCGTCCCAACCATCTCAGTCGATGAAGGTTCATAACATCGTCAACTGACTTACCTCTTCTCCCTAAAACTCTACACCTAACTTGTGCGTTACTCACGTGGTGACACCACGGAATACGTCCTATACTACGAAGGCAACGGAGGTCAAACAATTGAAGCCTTCTTATATCTTCCACTTTCAATGACTATGTTTCACAACCATAAAGTAGAACAAAGCGGACTGCTCTGCAGTACACGCGACCCTCAATAGACAAACGGATATCACGGCGGCGCCATAGGTGGCGCAACTTGGCAAAAGCCAATCGAGCCTTTTGTATCCGTGCAGAGATCTCATCGACAACTAACCCACCAGGGTTGATCCTACTTCCCAAGTGAAGTGGTCAACACACTCAACCACTTCACTCTCTATTCTTAGCCGAGGCACCACTGAAGACCAGTCCTGGAGCAACAATTTGCATTTCAATGCTGAAAACCGCATCCCAAACATTCTCAAATTCCCACTCAAAGTGTTCAGAAGACTCTGCATCTTGTCAGCGTCTTCACCTAACAGGACTCTGTCATCTGCATATTCTAGGTCTAACGAAAATTCTCCTGCGATTAGGTCAACGTCTGTGTAATCAGGTGACGAGAGGGAAACCTCCATAAGTATATCTATGATAAAATTAAATAAAGAATGGAGATAGTGGGCAGCCTTGACGGACACCACTCGATGAGTACACCTCCACAGATATCTCACCATAGGCTCCAACACGTCCACAAGTGTTCGAGTAGAGAGCTTTCGATAACTTAATGTACTTACTAGGCATGCCTTTCAGTGACAGACATTGCCATAAGACTTCTCGATCAACAGTGTGGAATGCCGCCTTCAGGTCGAGAAATACAGCTACTGTCGCTCGTCTGTAAGCATGCCTATGTTCCAAGACCGGGCGCAGTGTCAATATTTGGTCAACACACCCGCGGCCAGGTCTAAAGCCTGCCTGGTTTTCTCGGGCTCGCTGTTCCCGAACTCCACTCAGGCATATAATGATTATGGAACCTAGAATCTTAGACAATATGTTCATCAAGCTGATTCCTCTGTGGTTATCACAAGAGAACTTCTCACCTTTCTTGAAGACTGGGATAATCAGTGATTGAGACCAGTCAGAGGGGATTGTATTTGATTCCCATATACTGGTTGACGCCTCCGTTAACCTGACTAAGAGCACTGCACCACCATCCTTGTACACCCCAGGAGTTAGTCCATCTGGTCCTGCCACTCTTCCCTGTTTCACGTTACTTACCGCTTCTTCGACTTCTGTTAGGTTTGGGCGACCTATCTCAATGTCTCATTCAGGATCCGACTGGATAGCGGGCAACGCAATGGTGGCTGCAGGGCAATTTAACTGCTCCTCAAAGTGTTCTGCCCATCGTTCATGTCATCTCCCCTGCGAGTGAATCGCAGATCTGTCCTTCTCCGCTATAGCCTCACTAACTGTTGCTGATCGTCTCCCCCCAGTCTCCTTAATAAGTCTAAATAACTGTCTACTGTCACCGATCGCCGCTGGCTTTTCCATCTCGCCTCTCCTGCGAGTGAATCGTTGATGCATCTTTCCCCACTATAACCTCACTAACCGTTGACGTTTGCTCCCCAGTCTAAATAATTATCTGTTGCTACCTATCGCTGCTGCCTTTACCATCTCTTTAGCTTTCGTTGCCCATCACTATTCACGGTCGTTGCGTAGACTTTTTCCCAATCCACTTTTAAGTTGCGCTCGCTCTTCATTGTACTCAGAGCCTGCAGGGACGCGTTCATGTGCATCCATTAGTTCGGAAGAAGCTGCTGATATCCACTGGCTCTTTTTAGCCACTATTTTGGAGTCGGTTACAGTATTCAGTGCTGCTTTTACGGCAGACTGGATAAGGCACCGAGCTTCTTCTGGATGAGTGACAGTATTTTGTTCCGATAACTGCCTAGCCAACTTCTCACTGAACACGGCTTTGGTGTTTCCGTTTTCTAGCAGCACTCGTAGTGGTTTTGTTGCCAAATTTTTTCTACGTCCATTGAGACGTAGGCATATACGTGCTCGGACCAACGCATGATCGCTGTCCAAACACGTACTCCAGAAGGAGCGGCAGTCTTCCACCGATCCTCTCCAGCAACGATTAATAGCAATGTGGTCTATCTGTGTCCATCGCTGAGTTGAGCTCGGTGGACGCCAGGTCAGACAGTGCCTTTCTTTATGTCTGAAATTGGTGCTGGCTAAAAATAGGCGGTTATCTGAGCATAGTTGTAATAGGCGATCACCGTTATCTGTACGTTCAGCTGGGATTCCGAAAGTGCCACCTAAGTGCCTTTCTGCCTCACTCAGTCTGCCCACCTGTGCGTTGAGGTCACCTGCAACAACCACCACGTCCGAACGTTTGTCCTTCGAGAGGAGGTTAGACAGTTTACGGTAGAACTCGTCCTTCACTTCATCTGAGCTGCAGTCAGTGGGTGCGTAAGCAGAGATTACAAAGAGACAACGGCGAGTCTCACTATTCCTTTTAGTTCTTACTGTGCCGTTCAGCCTCATAGCGCAGAGGCGACTATCAACTGGGATCCAGTCTAGTAGTGAGTTTTCTGTCCTAGTGTTTAGTGCTATGCCTACACCTGGAAGACCACGAGAGCTAGCTATCGAATCTCCAGAAACTCGAAGAGTGAATTTTGCGGATTCACCAGATTGGTCAGGAGAGGTCAGGTGAGTAACCGCACTTGGGTCCTGTATGCATGTCTCACAAACACAGCAATGAATCTACAGACAATGAATCCTACTCAATCTAACCAACTACACGAACAATTCATACAAAACTCCAATAAATTGAGATCATTTTACGGAAAACTTTGATGTACACATTATACGATTAGGGAATAAGTTAAAAATTGTTCAATCAAACATTCATAAGTAAAATATGCTGTAGAAATATCATTTAGTTAAACTATACTTCGAGGTCAAGAAATATACGTGTACGTGTACATACATTCACATCCCTAAAGACAAACAAAAAGGGATATAATTTTAAAAGTCTGCTTGACTGATATACTTTACCAGAAGCAACAAAATTTTTTTCCACCTAACAACTAAAAATCTTTTATAAACTAGACATACAAATATTTTCACATGATTTACTGCCATTTACTTGATGAAGTTCGCCCAAGCACCTTTTTTTCCTATTCCTATGATCTTACAATTGCCTAACGAAAAGGTCTAGAAGAAGAAAGAGGATAAGGAGACGATACTTAAATTGAATATCAGACAGACAGATCAATATCGAGATTGATACCGAAATTGAATGGCTTCATGTCGTCATACTTTACAGTAGCATGTAAAAAACAAAAAGATTGGAATAAAAAATGATATCAAGATGAATGAAACTGTATGACAGTTGAAAAAAATAAACATTGAAGAAAGTCTATGAACATGTTCGAGACTTCAAAAAGATGAAAAATAGTGTTTACATCTGCTTCATTATGACTGATTTACAGCCATTTCACTAAGTGTCTCCAACAATTGATCTCCGTGGTCTTAGAAACTGCAGTAGTCTACATCTCTCTCTTCATAGTTACAACCAACAGTCTTCTTTCAACCGAGTTCAACTACTCACAATACCTCAGCATGAGTAACATACGTCCAAGCCACCTGATCGATCAACTTGTCTATGTTGCCTTGTACATACATTGTCTAACCTCAATATTGCTCACATGATGATTTCACTAAATGTGAGCAATACTATGAAGACATCTATGGTCCTAATTAGTATAACAATAGGAAATTACAATTGCCAATGAATAAGTACATCTTGTTTCATAATTTTTCTTCGATATAACCTGTCTCTTCAGAAACGTGATCACAAAAAACACAACACAGATTCAAACAGAAAAATTGTCTACCTTTTACATTTGAGTAGATAGTTATTCAATTGAATACTGATTACAAAAAGCCAATATGAACTAAAGATCATACTTACCCAACGGATGTTGATGTAACAGTTCCTGTTCTATTTGACGACCATCGACAAGCATGTTGTGACACTGGTGGATTAGCATTAATAACGCACATTAATCTTAGATTACAACCGGATTTCTGTGATGGTGCAAAAGGGAATATTCGAACTATCGGTGCATCTAGAAAATGTATAAGGCAACCATATTTTTCCCCATATTGACAAAGAGAAAAACTATCAAACGAAAGAAATCCTTAAACGTTATTCATGCAAACTACACTCACAGAATAAACGACGTGACTGAGTTAATCTCGTTTGTAGTTGCTCAGCAATAAGCATAGGACTACCGTTCTTTTAACGGTTGAACATTCAGATTTCACAGTGAATGCGTTAACCATTCAGCAATACAGTGCGACTATTACCCAAGGTCCTTAGTTATCTTTCGCTTCCTTGTGACTGGATGACACCACAGGTTGCGGCTTTTCACTAGAATTCCAGTATATCCATCTCGAACCACGTGATAAAAACAACCTTAAACATGAAATCCCGAGTAACCTATATATATATATATATATATATATATATATATATATATATATATATATTCGTCACCTAGAGTCACCGACCACTGGTTTATCTGGTCCCGCCGACTCCAATCACCTAGTCTGCATCGCCCTACATGACTCAAACCAACAGTCAAACACTACATACTTTGATGCCATGTTTTAGTCTGGCCACCTCGGGCCTTTTCCCAACCTGGACCCACCTCAGCCAACATTGTGTGACGAGGCAATCGGTGACTGCACATACGTAGTACGCGTCCCAACCATCTCAGTCGATGAAGGTTCATAACATCGTCAACTGACTTACCTCTTCTCCCTAAAACTCTACACCTAACTTGTGCGTTACTCACGTGGTGACACCACGGAATACGTCCTATACTACGAAGGCAACGGAGGTCAAACAATTGAAGCCTTCTTATATCTTCCACTTTCAATGACTATGTTTCACAACCATAAAGTAGAACAAAGCGGACTGCTCTGCAGTACACGCGACCCTCAATAGACAAACGGATATCACGGCGGCGCCATAGGTGGCGCAACTTGGCAAAAGCCAATCGAGCCTTTTGTATCCGTGCAGAGATCTCATCGACAACTAACCCACCAGGGTTGATCCTACTTCCCAAGTGAAGTGGTCAACACACTCAACCACTACACTCTCTATTCTTAGCCGAGGCACCACTGAAGACCAGTCCTGGAGCAACAATTTGCATTTCAATGCTGAAAACCGCATCCCAAACATTCTCAAATTCCCACTCAAAGTGTTCAGAAGACTCTGCATCTTGTCAGCGTCTTCACCTAACAGGACTCTGTCATCTGCATATTCTAGGTCTAACGAAAATTCTCCTGCGATTAGGTCAACGTCTGTGTAATCAGGTGACGAGAGGGAAACCTCCATAAGTATATCTATGATAAAATTAAATAAAGAATGGAGATAGTGGGCAGCCTTGACGGACACCACTCGATGAGTACACCTCCACAGATATCTCACCATAGGCTCCAACACGCCCACAAGTGTTCGAGTAGAGAGCTTTCGATAACTTAATGTACTTACTAGGCATGCCTTTCAGTGACAGACATTGCCATAAGACTTCTCGATCAACAGTGTGGAATGCCGCCTTCAGGTCGAGAAATACAGCTACTGTCGCTCGTCTGTAAGCATGCCTATGTTCCAAGACCGGGCGCAGTGTCAATATTTGGTCAACACACCCGCGGCCAGGTCTAAAGCCTGCCTGGTTTTCTCGGGCTCGCTGTTCCCGAACTCCACTCAGGCATATAATGATTATGGAACCTAGAATCTTAGACAATATGTTCATCAAGCTGATTCCTCTGTGGTTATCACAAGAGAACTTCTCACCTTTCTTGAAGACTGGGATAATCAGTGATTGAGACCAGTCAGAGGGGATTGTATTTGATTCCCATATACTGGTTGACGCCTCCGTTAACCTGACTAAGAGCACTGCACCACCATCCTTGTACACCCCAGGAGTTAGTCCATCTGGTCCTGCCACTCTTCCCTGTTTCACGTTACTTACCGCTTCTTCGACTTCTGTTAGGTTTGGGCGACCTATCTCAATGTCTCATTCAGGATCCGACTGGATAGCGGGCAACGCAATGGTGGCTGCAGGGCAATTTAACTGCTCCTCAAAGTGTTCTGCCCATCGTTCATGTCATCTCCCCTGCGAGTGAATCGCAGATCTGTCCTTCTCCGCTATAGCCTCACTAACTGTTGCTGATCGTCTCCCCCCAGTCTCCTTAATAAGTCTAAATAACTGTCTACTGTCACCGATCGCCGCTGGCTTTTCCATCTCGCCTCTCCTGCGAGTGAATCGTTGATGCATCTTTCCCCACTATAACCTCACTAACCGTTGACGTTTGCTCCCCAGTCTAAATAATTATCTGTTGCTACCTATCGCTGCTGCCTTTACCATCTCTTTAGCTTTCGTTGCCCATCACTATTCACGGTCGTTGCGTAGACTTTTTCTCAATCCACTTTTAAGTTGCGCTCGCTCTTCATTGTACTCAGAGCCTGCAGGGACGCGTTCACGTGCCTCCAGTAGAAGCTGCTGATATCTACTGGCTGTGTTTAGCCACTAATTCAGAGTCGGCTACGGTCTTCCGGGCAGTAAAAGCAGCGCCCTCAAACGCCCTACTCATCGTTTTACATTTGGCTTACATTCAAGTGACTGACATGCCGCATGATTTCGCCGAATCGCCCTCTCAGTGTATGTCTAGTCGAATCCATCTCCACTTTCTTATGTACATTTGGTTGGTTCGTTACCAGTTAGAGTTCCTTGTTCCTTATTCTTATTACTCTGGCCATCTGATCTTCATCTTCAGTATCGAGCAAGCGCGGGAAGCAGCTGTAATGTATGTCTGAAATTTGTTAGAAATGCTTCTCGTAACGTGCCAAGTCTCTCAACCGTCACACGGAAGCACTGATTTGACGTTAGTGTTGAAAATCCGGCTCTTGTTCCACATGCTGAGTGCAGTGGAATACAGTACAGTAGATCTCCTCACCGATTTCATATTCATGAAGGCCCCTCTTGCTGCCCTTCCGATCCTGGCTTTGATATCCCCATCTGTGCCCGTGCGACGCGTAGTTGAAATGATGCTGCCTAGGTAGGTGAAAGAGACAACTCCCTTCAGATTTTTCCCGTTCATGGTGATTGGTGCTTCTTCTTGTTGTGGCTGCTGATGTTGTTGGTTGGGTGCCTTCATCACCTGTCTTCTCTACGTTCACCTGAAGGAAGTATCACCTTCGCTTCCCTGCCTCGTTTCTTCTGTCAACTTGTTAGTTTTCGCCTGTAGATCTTCGAGTTTGTACCACATTAGAATTAAATCATCATGGGCGAAATGCAAACCTTCTAGGATCTTTTCGTCGGTCAAAAAGCCAGTGTACGCCCATCTTCTCGCTCCTCACAGTTGTTTCTTGCATGATACAGTCGAGTCGACCACAATTAGGAAGATGATCGGTGATGGTAGGAGGCAACCTTGTCTTACTCCTGTCTTCAAATCAAAGGCACCGCTGAGCTTTCTATTGTCAATCACTTGGCACGTTGCATCTTCATATGGCACACAGCTGTCGAATAAGGTTGATAAAGGTTTGTGACACTAAAGCTGTAGTGTTGAGGCAGTTGACAAATTACTTCTCGGTCGACGCCCCGATCGAAGTCCTTTTCAAAGTCAATGAAGTTGAGGTAGAGAGTCAACTGAAATTCTATGATGATGCGTAGCGTTGCAATTTGACCCGCACATGATTTGTTCTTCCTGAAGCCAGAAAGCCCGTTCCGGTCGTAATTTTGAATCCAGAGAACTTTTAGTCTTACCGGGATGATGTGGCATAATATTTTGATTTGGGTGGACAGCAGCATGATTCCTGGCTAGTTTTCGCAAAGATTTAAGTCATCCTTCTTCAAGGGTTTGACAAGGTAGCTCTTCTTCCAGTCGGCAGGTGCCTTTCCTTCCAAACCTTCTACAATAGTGATGTCAGCATGTCCGCTGATGTCTCTGCATTTGTTTTCAGTGCTTCTGGCAGAATTACATCTGTTCCTGAACCTCAATATATATACCTTTATTAAATCGCAGAAAGCAAAATCACCTGACCACTGACACGGAAATAGACACAAGGGAATCAAAATAGTGACTAAATACTTCTCAGGCCTGCTGCTTGGATCGATAGGTCACAATTTCTTCCCTTGAGAATGGATACCAGAGTTAGTGAGTTTCAGAGAACAAGACAATCAAGGTATTTGCCATAAGTTATAAGCTTCAAAATCAAATCGACTGATAATCAATGGAGAACATGATGAAACCATCGTAACAGCTGGACCGTTAACCATAGGAGATTCGCTTTTAAAATAAATCAAATCAACAAAGGACCAGGCATTAGAATGTAATGTTTCAAGTTGCCGCACCTCATATCAGTACAACAAGTAACCAAGAGTAAGATGACTGACTGAAAAAACCAACGAAGATCCTTGCACAGAAGTGCATCGACTCCAGTTGCCACACTTTGTAGAAGAACACAAAGCACAGGTAGATAGAAAAGGAGTGATATCAGAGTAGATAAAGTAGTGTGAGAAAATAAGCGGTTCGAAGATAAAGGTTAGCGCGAATATTCAAGCTTTAGGAGATGCGTCATTGTCACTGACCGATTTTCAACCGTTCCACCAAGTGTTCTCAACCACTCAACCACTGATTTCGTTTCAGGGACTCCATTCAAGTAGTCTACATCTCCCCCCACACGGCTTAAGCCAACAGTTAGGGACTTCATCGACTGGCGTCAGGTCTTGGTTTGGAAACCACGGACCCTTTTCCATCCATGGCGCATCGAAGTGAATGGTGGCTTGGCACGCTCAGCACATGTCTAAGCCTTCTCAGTCGACTAACGTTCACAACCTCATCAATTGACTTGCCTGTCTTACTTGGTACCTTTCACCTGACCTTGACATTGCTCACACGGTGATTACACCACATGCGAGCAATGCTATGAAGACACTTATGGTTGAAAAACTGTAACTGTTTCATGTCTCCTACTTTGACGGCCATGTCTCACAGCCGTATAACAAAAGAGAATGGACTAGAGCGGAGTATACTCGTCCTTTGATAGATAGCCAGATATCTCGCCGACGCCACAGGTAACGCAAGTTGGCAAATGCCAAACAAACCTTCTCTATCAGAGATCAGATGAAAAATGAAGAAAGAGAGAAATATAGGTCAAAAGCGGTAAAAGAGAGAGAGGAAGAAGAAAATACTAAATGCAGTACATTAGTTAGGATGAAGATAAAGTTTGGATACGTCTGCACCACTGACATCGATTCTAAGGCATACATTCATCTACAGTCCCCAGCTACTGGTTTCTGTTGCCAACAGGATGCCCACTGGCTAGTCTACATTTTCCAACATGACTCAATCCAATGGTCAAGGACTTCACACAGTGATACCATGTTTCAGTCTGGCCGTCTACAGCCTTTTTTAGCCTGAACCTACACTTCAGTCAATATACCGCGATGAAGTGTGCGTAACACATGCCCTAGCCACCTGAGTCGATAAAGATTCACGGACCCTACCAACTCTATTCCCCCCCCCCTACCCCCTATCAAAGAAAAGTAGTCAAAGGAGGCCAGACTAACACCTGACACCAGCTCATCAAGTAGATAATTATCGGTTAGAGTCGTGTACGCAAAGTCTTAACTTTCCATTTGGGGTCAGAATGACAACCACAATCTGTGATTAAAGATGGAAAGTGTTATGGTAGGGAAAATGGAAAAATGTGAAGTTTTCGCTCATTGATCTAGACATTTGACTTTCAATCAACAGACCACGGGTTCGAACTTCACTCCACCTACTATGGTCTGGACAGGAAGGTGGTGTCATCAGCCCTCATATATACACACACAGACATTAAGTGTGGCTCATTGTCTACTGCATAAAAGTGTATACGATTATTTGGCAACCATACATTCATTGTACGGAAATGTGTCTAAGCGTTGATTCAAGAATCTTGCATTGAGCTATCACAGAAACACTGTAAACTAGATCCTAGATAACACATTTCTCTTAGAATAAACAAAATAATACGACTAGTCAGTCATATATGGTTGAAATTTCGATCTCTTCTTCTCCTTCTTCAGATAATACAACAATATCCATGACGTACTAAGATTTTTCTTGATAAATAAGGACTACTAATAAATCAGTATAGAACCAGTTGCTGGATGCCGACCGAAGCAATATGTATCCAGACATAGAAATTGCTTAACAACTTACGTCTAACTTGTAATCTAACACGCCACAGAGCTTGGCCCATAGAATTTTCCGCATAACACATATATTCACCAGCATCATCAGCTTCCACTTGATCAAATTTAATTGTATTCCCCTAATAAGTAAAAATGTTTTACAAAATAAATAATTAGACTCAAGTACAATTGAGAAATCAACTAACTTCATGACTACGTGTAGATCTTAAACATTTCGTAACTGAGGCCATTAGTTGTTTGGTGGTGGCTACTAATGATATTCAGGGTGCGTGTTTCGACTTATCCAGGAATCATCAGCCGGTTCTACTAGTATTTCAATGAGCTTTGTTCTTTGTAGCACCTATCGCTTCAAACGTTATCTAATAAGTTACTGAGTTATGAAAAACATCTCTTGCACAACGAGTATTTATTCATCTATTGATCAATTAGGGCCAGTGTAATAATCAGCGGAAAACTACAACTACCAATAAATAAACACATTAGCCCTTAAGTTTGTGAACTTCGAATTATTTCAAGTTTTGACAGACGGGGTCTTAAAACGGTCTTAAAGTAGATTTCAACACGAGTTGACATCCTTCATAGAATCAGGGACTTCTCAGCAGCGTACACTTATGACCTCGCAAGAGAGATTGAGTTTTAGACCATCATTTATGCAGCAATACTTCTGTTACTTTGTGATATAATACAACCATCTTCCAATGTCAGCGGTGGGCATGCATATTCACTCATGAATAATTCAACCCAACATATCATAACATAGTAGTACAACTTCAGGATATCCCTCTTGAAGCAAATCACTGATCCCTAATTGGATAATAATTCGACTGATGTCTTTTGAAGGATTGACTATGATAGCTACAAGAAATCAGATCAGTGGAATCTGGACATCATTATAATGGAGTAGGTGTTTTTACATATAAGTGTTAGAAACGCTAAACTTCACTGCCACATCTCACATTTAAGAGTGTCTAATGATTAAAATACTTCCACTAGACGACTGTGACACACGGTCGTCGCAAATAGAAGACATGAAGCGGGACACAGGGTTTCGACCACGGGCGTCTTCGTAGCATTACTTGCGTATCACGGAATCACCACGTAAGCAATATTGAGGTAAGGTGAAGGGTACTGGAGAAAGACAGATAAGTCGGTTAATGAGGTTGTCAACCTTCATCGATTGAGGTGGAAAGGACATATACTGCGCACGCCAAGCCATCGCCTACATCAACGTGTCATGTTGGGACTTGGACTAGGTTTGAAGAGGGTTTAGCGTGAACAAACCAAGACCTGGCGTCAGTGCATGAAGTCTCTTACTGTTGATGTGAAGAGATGTAGACTGCTTGTCTGCGGTTCCTGAGACGAAAGGAATCGGTGGTTGAGTACTCTTAGTGACATGGTTGAAAACCAGTCACACGTGACGCCAATATATGTATTCTCTCCTTGAAGTCTTCTAAAACTTAAATATCTTCAAATTCTTTACTCTCTCTCACACAACTTTGTTTACTTTGGTATCACCCTTATTCTATCCACCTGTCTTTATATACTACTGTGGTGTGGCAACTTGAAGCAATGCACTTGTGTGCGAGGTTCTATGTTGATTTTGTTTGTCTTTCCATTATTCTATTGCTAGGTCATACACTTGTCATTGTTAATGATCTTCAGGTTCTGTGATTTAGTTAGTCATCGACAAGAATCTTTGTCGTATATGCATACAGTGTAGGTTGATACTGAGCATATCGATCTGACGAGATTTCGTCTCACTAATGTGGTAAAAAAAATGTGCATAGGATAGTTCAGTCTCTCGATCTGCAAAATAATGATTGCACGACTATGCTGAGAAGCAGAAGAGTTTCTGTCATCAGCGACTCCCGATCACCTTTGATATACACTGGAATTAGTAGGTTAAGATTAGGATGGACAACAGATTAGTGAACCTATTCCGTCATATATATGTCTGAGTCATGATAATCTATCCATCAACCGACTGTAAAATCTAAAAGAGTATGCTAAAACAAAGAAGCTAGCAAAGGATGCCAGGTTATGCCAAGAATTGTTATCAAGCTTTGTACTGGGTGATGGTTGGGGTGAAATGAAAATTTAGACCGTGTCCGGATTCGAACTAGCGAACACCGGGGTTTCCAGTCTGATGCTCAAGTCCGGCCGCGGTCAAAATTTTCATTTCACCTTCAATCATCACCTAGTATATATACTAGTCTGCTAAACCACGGGCTATTCACATAGTCGAAATGATAATAAAGCCTTATGTTAAAATTAGTGGCGTTCCAAAATTATAGATACAGTATTGTAGAAATTCCCAATACCCTACAACAAGATCTAAACCATGGTGTGTTATTCGGCATTTACCTTTGAAGGTTGACGAATTACTCCAAAGATGTGCAGATTGCTATCTTAATACTTTTACAATTATTTCGATATTGTACTTTCGTAAAACAGTATCAATGTGAAGCCCAGAATTACTGCGAAAAAGTCTAAAGCTGACACACTCCATATCAGCATATCGTGGAGCTGCGACCGTCCTAGTGGTCACGGGTTCAAACCCCACTCCACTTACTAAGGTTTGAGCAGCGAGGTAGCCCTCACAAAATAGGTATGGCTCATTGCCTACTGCACAAATATGCACAAGGTTTCTGTGTGCATTTCGATTTTATATGAAAACATTAAGAAAAAAAAGAAATAGGGGAGGAAAAATCATTCAAAAGTCATAGTAGGTCTTAGGAAGAGATTATGGGGAGTAAACAAATAGCGAAGTGCTGTGTGATGATCAAGATGAGGCTAAATTATGTGTGCATTTGAACCACGTTGATAAGTTCTGGACCACATCACCTGGAGTCTCAAACAACTGACCTAAGTTGCTGCTTGAACCGATGAGATCAAATCTATCCGAATATAGTCTTCCCGATACATTCGGTTCTGTTCGCTGCATCGGGAAAATCAACGTAATGGGTAAGCGTATGATATCGCTTGATGTTCGTACTTTATTTACCAATGTTCCACTTGTTGAAACCGTTTGTTATCTATGTGATCACATTGATTCTAACCATATTAACATTGGATTAGCTACAAGCCACCTGAATGAACTGATATTAACATGTACTTTTAATGTACAGTTTAGATTCAATGATATAATTTATAATCAGACGGATAGCATTGCAATGGGGTCTCTATTAGGCCCTGTCCTGGCTAATATCTTTATGGCAAAGCTTGAAAACGGGCCCCTTAAAGAAATGATTTCGGAACTTTATTTGTATAAAAAGGTACACGGAAGACACTTTTCTTATTTGCGACGAAACATGTTCAGTGAACGAGCTGTTAAGACGTTTCAATGATTGTCACCCGTCCATTAAATTCACTGTAGAAGAAGAGTTAAACTCATTGTTCCACTTTTTAGACGTAAAGTTAAAGAGAAGGGATGATGGCTCGATTCAAACGTCAGTCTATCAAAAACCAACTTGGACCGATCAGTTCACTAACTTTTATAGTTGGGTACCTCTTGGTTGTAAGAGAAATCTCATTCACTCACTGTGTTCCAGAATCTATAGAATATACTCTGAAGATATGGTGGATACTGAATTCGAAACTCTTAGAATAATACTATCTAATAACAGATACCCTCAAAAGATTCATTGATACTAATCTGAAGAAATGAACCACTCCCCATGCCATTACAGTCCCTAAGAAAATTTTAACCATTAATCTAGAATTCAAAGGAGACACCACAGCTGGTGCTGAAAAATCGTCTGTCAAGGTGTATCAATAGTAGGTTCTATGCTGCTAGACTGAGATTGATATTCTCCAGTCACCGTCTGATTCGTCAATGTGTGAAGGATAGGCTTCCACTTATGTTCACATCTACAAGTTCACATGCTCCTATGGAGCTGACTATATTGGACGTTGTAAGTGGGCCCTCCGAAAACGTGTTGCCAAAACATTAACCCGGTTTGGCTTACCAAAGGCGAGTAAAGTTAACGCTTCCACCACTTGTTCATAGCTGAAGCATGAGCTATACATGAACAGAAACCGAAACTTCACCTTCAAAAACGTTTTGTGAAACCATTCTCTCTACCTCGGCCTTAACTATTTCTTGTTGGTTATCTTGTCAATTTCATTTCACTTCACTTTGGTACACTTCTCTTTGATTATCATCATCATTATCACCAATTTAAACTTCACTGACAACATTTGACCCATATTTCACTATTTAATATCAATTCGTCACTCCTTATTCATTGACCTATTTTGCATGGTTCAGATTAATTATCACCGTTTTACAATCCCTCGACAACACTTGTCTCTTATCTCACCACTTGTTATCAATTCGTTGCTTATTATTCAGTAACCTATTTTCTATTTCTTCCACTTGAACAAATACCACCGCCTACATCGATTGTATATTTTGTATATTGACTGAGCAACTATCTGTCATTTTACCGAGTATAAATACAACTGTACAACTTGATAGTGAAATCGTTGAAATGAAACGCTTCATCTTCGCTGATACACGTCTTGTTCTGATTCATGATTAAATGTGTATATTTCGTCACTAAGTTGTTGTGGCAACTCAAACCGAAAATTCTACATTTCTAGAGGCGATTCACACCGAAAGTCAGACTATATGCACTGATATCGCTTTCTAGTCTGTCCGTGTATCATTCTTCCATATCCTTCAATCACTTTAGTTATATAATAAACTACCTGAAAAGTGTATTTCAAGTCAGTCAAGAAGTTTCGTAAGATTTACAGAAGAACCAAAATTCCCAGACATTTTCATATTAACACAGTCCAGCAGTTACAAAACGTCTCCGACATTTGAACCACACGAATTGTTCTATGGCACTTTCTGGAATGAGTGGTTCGTTTGTGAAATGCATTATCTTTCTAGATAACATTACAGCACTAACTCTGATCTGAAGTGAGCTGTCAGGGTTTTTCCATGAGTGTTTCGCTAGATTGTGCTATCTAAGTGATTTGTGCTTGGTTGTTTATTTTGTTTGTTGTGTCAGCAACTGTATAGATTCTCCTGTTGGCTATTTTTCTGTCTAACCTTTGACCGCGTAGTTGTTTATTGTCTTTCTCTACTGGTCGGTAGATTAGGTCAATATCTGCATATCTATTGACCACTGATTAATTTCAATCTCAGGATTCTCTGGTATTCTTTGTGTTCCTCTGTCTAATATTGTGAGCTAACAGAAGTTGGAAATATGGAGCATCGGATTCTGACCCAGTGGCTCAATGGTAACGCGCTGGCCGCGGAACCTGAAGGTCGCGGGTTCGGTCCCTGCTGGTAGGGGTCGTGGGTGCGCACTGCTGAGGAGTCCCATACTAGGACGAAACAGCCGTCCAGTGCTCCCAGGTTTCCTTTGTTCCTCCAACTGATGTCAGTCTACGATGAATAACAACTTGAAATAATATTGTTACATTTTCAAAACCATATTTATGGCTACAAGTAACCACAAGAGTTGATATGAACGACAAACTGTGACGTTGAATAGCCAACTACTGTTGACTTCAGTGAAGACGAGGAGGCCGACCACTCTGTCCAATTCAGTACTGATCACTATTTTTGCACTTGATTTTGTATATGCCATTTGGTTCGCATTTTCCGGCTCATGCATCATTTGGTCTGCACAGCATGGTCTGGAAAGAAATTTCTGATTTCTGAGTCATACCAATCCAAAATAGTCTAAGTAATCTTGTTGTGACGTCTCATATGTTCCTCACGTATGGTAGGATAATTCATTTGCTGATGTCAGAGGATAACTTTCTAATTCGTGAGCAAAAAAGGTATCTTCGAATGAAGTTAGTTGAGTAATCGTTCTTCTTTAGGACATCATCGTCAATACCAACATAGAACCAGACAGTACTGATTAACTGTCCAATTTGCCGCCACACCTTATATCAGTACATGAAGTAGAAAGGCAGTTAGGTGCAAGACGCAGATCAGAAAATTCAGTCAAAAGAAATATAAAGCACGAAAAGACAGAAAGGAAGAATGAGAAAATGGTGAGATTCGGTATAGCATCGTTAAGATGCGGACCATGTGTGTGGGGATACATCTGCATCACTAACATCGGTTCTCAACCATATCACCTAGAGTCTCCAACCACTGGTTCATCTGGTCCCGCCGACCCCAACCACCTAGTCTGCATCGCCTCACATGGCTCAAACCAACAGTCAAACACTTCATACATTGATGCCATGTTTTAGTGTGGCCACCTCGAGCCTTTTCGCAGCCTGGACCTACTTCGACCAACATTATGTGACAAGGCAATCAGCGACTAGGCACACGTAACACGCGTCCCAACCATCTTGGTTGATGAAGGTTCACAAATATGTCAACTGATTTACCTCTGAAAGAAAGTAATAATAACAGTAATAGTAGACAGACAAAGAGTTGTTTAATTAAAGCAATCACTTCCGCGAAACGCAGTAATCCAGACCATTTCTCTACGTTTATTACTAACGATTCAACTATGTACAGCAACAGACAATAAGTATCAAGCAACAACTGATACCCGTTGCACAAAAGGTGGCCATCATTCCCCAGTGGATAACGCTTTGGTGGGGTACATGTACACTTGGTTGACAAATCTCAAATAAATTTTGACAGTTGTGGGGATGTGGGAACATTTCAAGTTGTTATTCATCGTAGATTGACGTCAGTTGGAGGAAAACAAAGGAAACCTGGGAATACTAGACAGTTGTTTCGTTCTAGTATGGGACTCCTCAGCAATGCGCACCCACAACCCCGCAGGGATCGTGCTGGCCACGGAACCTGAAGGTCACGGGCTCGATCCCTGGCGGGGTCGTGGGTGCGCATTACTGAGTCCCATACTAGAACGAAACAGCTGTCTAGTGCTCCCAGGTTTCCTTTGTTCCTCCAACTGACGTCAGTCTAATTCATCGTCAATAGTATCACTCGTGCAGATTCTTTTGATTCTTCAGATTCTTTTTTCTGCTAACAGGCACTCAGTCACAGAAATTCAAGTATTGTCCATAAATCGATCTCTGAAAAGAGCTATCTGGTCTCCGTTTCAATAACACACTAGGAAAGTGGAATTCTAATTTCTGTTCAAATTCTGATGTGAAGTTGATCAATGGGTGACTCATTAAACTTGCTAACTATAGTCCCAATATCTGCAGTTTGATCACATTTGATATTTCCATTTCTCATCTAGCAACAATTTTCATCTTGTCAAACTCCTTGCTTTCCTCGCTATTTCCACTGTCTAAAAGATTATTACACAAGTACTTTCCATTCTTGATTTCGGTTTTTAAGCACTAGCTTGATGATGCCATATATATATATATATATATATATATATATATATATATATATATATATATATATATCACCTATAGTTTTAAATCACCGATTTCGGATGAAGACCTCCAGCACGGAAGTTTACGTTAACCCGTCATAGCTCAGACCAACAGTCCAAGATTAATGTCCGGTGTCAGTTTCACCACATTTAATCTCTTTCCAAACCCATCTCACCCCGAGTAATATTGGATGGCCAGGGTGGACAGTAACTTCGTATGCGCAATACATGTCTCAACCAATAAGCCTACAAATGAAAATACGGAATCTTTTATCTTGCACGTAGACTTTAGAAAAGGGAGATTGATACAGTCTGAATTCGTTAATAATGATCAACATTTTAAGTTATTTTAATCACTTACACTTTTAACCGCGCCAAAATTGCGTATAATACTACTTTCACCAGCCGTACGTCTCCAGTAGATAACTGGTGGTGGAATGCCATCTGCATTACACTGCAGAGTAACTGGATCACCAGAATCAGCATCTGTATCATAGGATGACATATGTCGGACAATATTTGGCTTAGCTGAAAAGACGTATGTGTCAGAAAAATTTCATTCATACATCACAATTCTTAGGAACCAATGCAAAATCCCTATAGACTAGGCTGTATTGAGATGGACAAAAAAAAATGTCAACATGAGATCTGACATCACTGAGCAACAGTCCAACCTGTCACATCTCATATCAGCATCTCAAGCGACAAGCCCAAGTTTTACTATCCGGACCAATGGTCAAGAAATTTATGGAGTGACGCCAATGTTGTAATCAGGCCACCTCTAACCTCTTCACAGTGAACCTGAATCAGTGTGATGGGGTAGACGGTGACCAAGTATGCGTAACGCATGACTCAATCATCTCGGTCGATGAAAGTCCATAACTTCATTACTTGACTTTCGTCTTCTGCCCCAAACTCTACAGTTGACTTTTATGTTACTGAAGTGGCGATACCATGAAACATCAGGGAGATATGGCTGTAAAACTGGAATTCAGTGACACGTTATTTGTAGGGTAACACCAATAACAGACACCTTAAAGGCATGTTAACCTGAGAGTCCTAAACAGCCGTTTTTTCGCTCCAGGGTGGTCAGAACACGCGGCGACCACGTCGCCATTCAGTCGATGAGTTGGGATCATATGGTGCACATGGTGCACTGTGAAACTTCATGGTGCTGGGCTCTGGATCTTACGGAATCCTTAGTGTAGACCACTGAGGAGTCCCATGATAGGACGAAGCAACTGCCCAATTCTTCCAGGTTATCGATGATTCTCCAACTCATGTGAAAAATGCTACCTTAAATTTCAAAGCGCTACTCTTCACTAATGCTTTTTCAATCATGTTAAAAATATTGCGCTTGAATAAAGGGGATTTAAATAGGTGATCAGTGACTATTGTTGGCTAGAAACAATCAGAATATTTGCTTCGCATGCTCAACTACAATCATAAAACCCAAGTGTAATGAGTCGATAAAAGCACAAGTTAGTAGTTTGATTAACTTTCTGCATGCGTTACGAAAGGCGGCTTTTGTGTCGAAATGAAAGACTAACTGACTGACAACGAGTTATAGTGGTGGAACACTAGTACCCTTGCGGTCTTACCATGTTGGACGGTGGTAAGACGAAAAGGAATTATTGTTATAGTGTAAATTATCACACCATGATGGGCGTCTGAGGGCGAAGTTGTACTGCTGCTAGCTGGATGGTGTGACAGCAGTGAAGTCTTTCCCTTGGATGACCAGCAGTGCCATGCTAATGCTGCCCTTTCAAAATGAGTGAAGGTTGGAAAAGATCGGCCCCAAAAATAAAACATTCCACCCTGCCCCATGGGCTCGTGGGGACGACGATATGGGTCCTCTCAATCCGGCATTACAACGACCAAACTTCTAAACAATATACCACAAAAATCCGTGTGACAGGCCTCAAACAAATGTCGCATGGGCTCTGCGGTCACACAAATACATTTCTCTTTCAGATACCTGAAGAAGAAATAGCCTTCTACGGTGTGGTCAGCCGGAGGTGTCAACCGCCCACACCCTTTCAGTAATACACAAAACCAAATCGAAATGAATATTTGTTTCGTAATCTACTTGATGGCTAAGAATGGAATCCAGAAAGTGCCTTTCATCCTATTTGGCAGTCGCCAGCTGAACGTACCTGACTCCAGTGGGTGATCTCGCTACCGCTGAAACTGAAGCCCTGTACCCATCGCTCCAAACGCCAAAGCATTAGTCTGAGCGATTGGGGCACGAGAACCACATTTTGTTTTTATTTAACTTCATTTGTTTTCTTATCTTTCACTCTTGATAGATAGTGATGCTCGAAGTAAAGGGAGAACGCGAGTCGCAAAAGAATCCGAACCAATGATCAGTGGATTACCCCACAAAGTGCCATAGCAACTTAGTGCTGACTATTTCATATCAGTCACTGAAGGGTTTTGTCCGGTTACCATCGTAAATGTCTTAGTAGCACTTCTTACGTATGGTGAAATCACCATGCGAGCAGTATCAATGTGAAACGAAGGGTTCCAAGCAGGACAGCTAAGTCGGCCGATGAGGTTGTGAACCTTCATCGAATGCGGTGGTGAGTGTCGAGAAACCACCTACCTCAAATTCTAATACTGGAAGTTAGTTAAAAAGAAGGCTTGGACCGTACAGATTGACACCCGACACCAGTTTATGAAGCCTCTGACTACTGGTGTGAGCCGTGCGAGAATGTGTACATTGAGCAGATTTGGTTCCCAAAACCATAGGAATTAATAATTAAGGTTGCAAACCAGTCACAATAGAAGAGACGTATTCACCCTTTGAAGTTAACTAACATTTAAATATTTGCACTAGCCTTCAAACTTTATCCGCTCATATACCTTTCTCTACTTTAGTATAAGTAGTTTTCTACAAACTTGTCCTTTGAATGCTACCGTGAAGTGTGGTAACTTGAACCGATGGAATTCTGTGCGAGGTTGAAAGTTGATTTTGTTTTTCTGTCTATATGAGTTCATGACGAATAACTATCCGTTCATCATAGTCTAACTGGCTGTCCAGTTACGTCTTCTGATCTCATGGATTTAAAAGACAACCGGCGAAATTCTTCGGTGACTGAAATAAAAATAAAAACCTGGTCAAAAGCCGATTCTCGTAATTCAGTTGGTAAAGCGTCCCGGTTTGTAACCCGTAAGTCGCTGGTTTGAGTCGTACCAAGAATCAGATTGTAATTTCACCTACAATCATCATTCTGTATGAACAATTCCCGTTTTCAAAACCAAAGCTATCTCAGCTAGTTTTATTGATAATATACATACATATACATATCATATGTATGACTTACCAAAAACACGTAAAATTCTGTGAACTCTTGCCGGTTCCACAGATCCAGTATATTGGCATTCACAAGTATATTTCCCTTCATATGTTTTATCCAAAGACATTATTTCTAAACTTGAAATGAAAAAAAATTTTTTAAAAACACTTCAATACTTTTTGATTTGGTAAAGAATGTGAGCTAGGCATTGGATGGAAAATTGTACATTTACGATAAAAATATATATAATCCGAGAAAAAGGTATGGATTAGCTAGTTTCGATATGAGATAGTGACATACTTAGCTAACAGTTTATTTTCTTGCAAAATGCATCCAACAAACAAGTGTCAAATCTTTTTAGGATTACAGAGATGTAGGCCCGCAGCGTACGTAAGTTTGGTATGTGTTTTGCACCACTGAAGTGCAAAGTACTTTTGCAAGATTGGCAGGAGCCTGTGACTGCGATCCTTTTCAGTGGTAAGCCGATGGAAGTAGTCATAAAGGTCATGTATCTGGGTAGTTATATGGGCGCTGGTGGTGTGATGAAATTTCCAACCGCATGTTGAAAGTCAGAGTGGCATACGCCAATCTGGGCCACTTTTGGCACTGTCGCGGTCATAGCCTAACTGTACAAGATCGGGTGTACACGGCTAAGGTGTTAACAGTTCTGCCCTACGCCTACGAAACCTGGTCAAATAGCTCTACCTCTTTTGGCCGATGAGCTCCTATGCGGGTGCCTCGATACTGCCGGATATTCATGAGACTGTATGCATCTTGTTGACTAGCAGTGGAACCCAATGGCCTAGTGGATAACGCTTTGGTGTTTGAAGCGATAGGTACTGCGTTCGAGTCCCAGTGGGAAAAACATCACTCACTGAGGTTCAGGTACATCCAGCTGACGAGTCCAAAGAAGGATGAAAAGCACGTGCTGTATCCCACTGTTAGTCACTGACCAACCGATAGCTGCTACCTTGACGTGGAGGTCGGGCTTGTATATCACGATGATCCAACTAGCTGTGCTGTTGGAACGCGTGTCCTCGAGGTCCTACTATACTAAAAATGTCTGTTGGATAGCGGTTCAACGAAAAACGGTTACCCTTAACATTTTCTTAAACGAAGAGATGATGCATTATGGTTGCCTAGATCAGTCACTAAAACCGGTGAGCCAAAACCACAGGACATATGTACGACTACATCTTTCATAATAAATGTCAACTGGTGTGACCTCAAATAGATGTCCCTTGGTTTTTGAGGTCATGAACCAACCCATCCTTTTCAGGTACCTCAAGAAGACCTCGTCTTCAACTGAATGAGCAACCTGGAAGCGTCAACTGCTCTCACAACTCTGACAGCGCTGAAGTCCCCTCAGACCACTATCCACCTCAGTCATCCTAACCTTCTAATCATCCCTCACCGTTTTACTGGAAGCTGTCTAGCTAGACTCTGCCTGAAAGCCAGATGTTCAGACGTGGCTCTTGTTGCAGGTGATTACAGTGCACAAGTGGGTGTGCCAAGTGAGGTACAAAGGCACTTAGGTGGCATTTTGGCATTTCCCGAATGCCGGCCGAACAAACAGATAACAGTGATTGCCTAATACAACTATGCTAAGATAACCGTTTATTTCTACCTAGCACAAACTGCAGACATACAAAAAGACATTATCTAACGTGGCATCCACCGACTTCAACTCAGTGATGGACACACATAAACCGCATTCCTATCAGTCATCGCTGAAGAGGGTCTGTATAAGACTGTCGTCCCTTCGGGAGCATGTATTTCAATAGCGAACAGGCGTTGGTTCAATGGACATAGAAACATTTCAGCAACAAGACCATTACCAGTACCAATCGACAACGAGAACACTAAGGGCACTTTCAGTGAGAAATTCGCTAAGCGGTTTTCACAACAGAACACTACCATTCATCCAGAAGAAGCTTGGCGCCATCTCCAGTTTGCTTTAAAAACAGTCTTGAAAACTGTAACCAACTTTCAAAGAGTGGTTAAAAAGACCCAGTGGATATCACCAGCTTCTTCTGAATTAACGGATGCACGTGAAAGCATTCCTGCAGACTCTGAGTACAATGAGCACCGAATCCAACTCAAATGTAGGCTGACAAAAAGTCTACCCAATGACCACGAACAGTGATACGCAGCGGAGGCTAAAGAGAGGGGAAAGGCAACGGCGACAGGTGACAATTATTTAGACTGGGGAGAAAACGTCAACGGTTAGTGAGCCTATAGTGGAGAAGAATGGTTCTACGATCCCCCCCCAGGGGACGTGACCGGAACGAAGGGCAGAACACTTTGAAGAACAGTCCAAGTAGCCTCCAACTGCCACTACACCTCCAATATCAAGTAGGATCCGGAATGGAAAATCCAGAGTGGTCTCCCGACACTTGCAGAAGTCGAGAAACAGGTAGGTAACCTGTAATGAAGTAGGGAAGCTGGGTCAGAAGGACTAGGTCCTGAGGTATACATACAGGAATGATGGTAGTGTTTTAGTCAAGTTAACTGAAGTCCTAATCAGTGTGTAGAAGTCAAATATGATCCCCTCTAACTGGTCTCAATCACTGATAATCCAAGTCTTCAAGAAAGGCGAGACGTTCTGAACACTTCACTCACCTGCGAAGTCGGATCACACCCGGTGCATTGCGCAGTGGCCGACGAAATCTCTGCACGCATACAGAAAGCCCAGTTGGCTTTTGTCAACTTACGCCATCTGTGGTGCCGCCACGATATCCCATTGTTTACCAAAGGACAAGTATACTGTGCTTCAGCCCACTCCGTTCTACTGTATGGGTGTGAAATGTGAGCATTAAAGGAAGAAGACATGAAAAGGCTTCAGGTGTTTGACCACCCATGCCTTCGTACAACCTTTTTGTCCTGCTGCTTTATCGGATGTAAGCAACCTGATGGCATTCAGGACTTCAGGGCTTGTGTTCACTAACAGTTCTGTGAATTAGCTGCTGGTGGTATTTCTCGACGAGTTACAGGTGGTGGTGGTGGTCGTTTCAAGAGTTTTTTGAAGTGGTCAGTCCATTGTTTCCTTTGTTCCTCCTCTTTGGCAACTAAGTTTCCTTCTCTATCTTTCACTGGTTTCATCTGTGCTGATCTCTTCCTAGATTGATAGTAACCTGTTTATTCGATATAATGTTGTCAGGTCTCGTTTACCAGTAGCTTGTTCTGCTTCATTGGCAAGTGTGTCGTAGAAATGTCTTTTATCTTTTCGTGCACTTCTCTTCACTTCTTTTTCAGTTTCTTATAAGTTGTATTCAGTTCCTCTTTTCGTTGCTGGTCCCTGTACTGCACGGGTTCATCTTCTGCTTCACCATCTTCCTCTCCTCTATCAGCTTCCATCTTTCCATCAAAATCCATTCCTTGTGCCGTTTCCTCTTCTTTCCTAACATGGTTGTGCAGGTTTCCCTCCACATTTCCAAAGAATTCCAGTGTTCTCATACGCAGGTTTCTTCAGGGATCCTGCTTAATGTCTCCCATTTTGTCCTGATAACTAGCTAACGTGAAGAAGTTTTTTGCAGTTTCCTCCTTCAGTTCAGTTGGACTCAAACTGTGGCCTATCATCACCAGTTTCTTTGAAGGCTTTCACATTGATTTTCGAGATTCCTTGCACTAGATAGCGAGTGGTGTGAACCTACATCCACTCCTTTTTTTTGATCTGATCATGTGTCCAGTAGGCTGCATCTCCACTTTCTTCAGATTGAGATGAAGTCGATGCGATTTTCAGTGTGTCCATCCGGTGAAATCAAATCCGTCACTTTGTGAATATCCTTGTTTGTACACACTGACTTCAATCACCAAATCGTTGACTGCACAGAAGTCTACAAACAGTTCTCCATTCTCACTCATTTTACTGAGCGCTTCCCGACCCATGATAAGTCCTCTTTCTGTGTTGTCCGCTCCCAGTTTGGCATTCATGTCGCCCATTAGAATTTTGATGTCGCCAACTGGAGTCTTTTCCATTACTGATTGCAGTTGTCTGTAGAATTTCGCATTTTTCCTTTGATCTGCATTATCCAACCTCCCCTAGCATAGCATATTCAGGTAGGGATTCCCAGAAATGTATTTTAATAATTGATCTGATATTATGAATACACAGGACATGGATAATCAAATGTATTAACAATATTTCAAGAGAAAAGATCAATATAGAGGTATGATCGAGACAGTTTTAAGTGAAGGAAAAAAAGATTACGTGAATTACAGATTGCTCGGACTTGGCTTCAACTTTCGGGCACACCAAAAAAGTGTCACGTTGATACTAGTTGGTTATCAAAAGCGAAGTGAAAACCTGAGTCACGGTCGGATTCAAACCAGTGTTCCAGTGGGGTTACATGTTCAGTGTTTAACCAAATGAGCTACAACAACTAGCGGTTAACCAGGTCTTAAACTCACTTCAATCATTGGACGATTTTACAGATTACCATTTGAGTTCATGATGTGTCACTGTTCATTCATGGTAATCACAACCATTGTCTATACAGGTTTTCTCGTTTAAATCTAAATCCAATTATACCCACCGTTCTCCAACACCTGACACAAAGCCTGAAAGTGATATTCAACTTGGCCAATCGATAGGTGTTGTGGCATCATCAAACTGTAAAGGAAATACAGAGCAAGTATGTAACGCTAATCAGGCCCTCAAATGCATGTCAGACTTCACTTATATAGGGATTAGCATCAACCCTGAATCTCACCTTGGAAACAGAATGACCATTTGGCATTCATCACCTTCCGACTGGCGAGGTATCAGACTGCTTGCTTAAATATAAGTATACAGCCCTGCAGTCCATTTTGTTTTCCTATCATGCGACCATGAGACATGACCGTTGAAAGTAGATTTGAAGAGATTACTTTTTTCTGATCAGCAGTTTCTTCAAAGAATTGCTACTGTAACTAATAATGTTCAGGATCCTTCGGTTCATGGCAATCCGATACCTAAATGGAGCTCAAGAACAACAAACTCGAGGAAATCAACCACGTTTCATACGTGCACGTCATCATCATCATCTATCAACATAGGACCAGGCATTACTGAGTAACGGTCCGAGTTGCCACAGCTCATATCAGTGCATCAAGTAAAACGGCAGCGTAGTGGAAGATGAAGAAAATTCGGTCAAGAGAAATATAAAGTACGAAAAGAGAGAAAGGATGAGAAAATGGTGAGATTCGGCATAGTGTCGTTAAGATGACGATGATGTGTGCATACATCAGCGTCACTGACATCGGTTCTGAGCCACATTACCTAGAGTCTCCAACCACTGGTTCCACTTGTCCCGCGGAACCCAACCAGTTAGTCTGCTCAAAGGAACAGCCAAAGACTTCAAACATTGATGCCATGTTTTAGTCTGGCCACCTCGGGCCTTCAGATGTGCATGAGTGCATAGATCAGGTTTCCATACTTCGACAGATCCCGGAACACGGGTAAACTTACCGGCGGCCAACACCTGCCATATTTCTCAACCCAAAGGTGTCATTCCACTCTGCCAACCATGAGGTGCTGTGACCGTGAAGGGAGTGCCGTGCAAGTATATAACACAAATCAAAGCTCTCTACTCGAACTCAAGCAAAAATGTTAGGGCTTATGAAGATTTGTCATGGGGATTGACTACAACTAGTGGTGTCTACCACTTATAGACATAATATCACGCGTGTCAGACTTCACAGGGACTGACGCACCCCCTGGAGGTCATCTGGTTGACTTGAATTATGAGGACGATATTGTCCTAACGGGTGAAGACGCTGAGTATTCATGCCGGAACTTTCACACCTGTAGAATGTAAGATGATGATTCAGGACTTATCTGCAACCATTCCTGGTTTAAGGAGAAAGAAGTAGTAGAAAGCGTTGACCACTTCACTTGCTTGGGAAATTGTATCAGCCCAAACGGGCTGGTTGTTGACGAAATCTCAGCTGAGATACAGAAGGCCCATTGGTATTTGCTACACTGTCATCTGTGGCATTGACTGACAAGATATTCTACTATGTATCCAAAACGAGTATAAAGCGCTGCAGTCCGTTTTGTCTTGTTATACGGCTGAGACATGGCCGTTAAAACTAGATAGGAAGCGGATATAGGTCTTTGACCATAGGTGTCTTGCGTATGGTGAGATCACCATATGGGAAATCTTAAGAGTGGACGAAGGGCACCAGGGAAAACAGCTAAGTCAATCAACGAGGTTATCAACTTCCATCGATAGAGGTGGCTAGGACATGTTGCATATGCCAAGAGACCGTCTACCTCGATGTGTAACACTAGAAGTTGGGCTAGTTTGAAAGAGCGTTCAGGGTGGCTAAACTAAGTGGTACTAGTGCATGAAGTTCGTGACTATCGGTCTGAGCCGTATACGGAGAGGCAGAGAGTCTGACGAAGTAACCGAGAAGATGGATGTCAATAGCTGATGACTTGGTGAAATGAATGAAAATAGATCACAATAGTGTAGACACATTTATTCTTTACTGTCTTCGATAGCTTAAACTCTTTAACCAAAATTTTACGATTCCTTCTCCTCCCATTCACCTTTGTAAACTTTGATACCTTTTCCTACCCACTTTTCCTTTGTTTACTACTGTGAAGTATGTGACTCAATTTGTTTACGACCGCAAAATGAACCCGGAAAGCATTAAATATACAATGCAAAACCAATCCTTTTAGTGCTTAAAATCTAATTCTCTGCTTCGTAAACCTCACTTTGTAAGAAATTACTAGCCTAAAAATGTGTTATTCGAATAACCTGCCAATAAATCTGCATAATAGTGAGACCAACCCTTACAGTGAAGCTAGGCAACACCTTATGTGGAACGGATACTGAGCATGAGCAGAACCTTAAACGCATTTCTCTGTTGTAAAAGAAGAGCAATACTGTACCGCAGGTTCCTTAGTTTATTATGCTTCCCGATAACTTTCACTGGACGATAAGTTGATTTCATTAATCGAAGATAAAAGCTACACACGCAGTGGAAAAAGAAATAACTTGCAGAAATCATTAGTTTCAAAACTTTGTATTGTCACTGAATGGGAAATAACAAAAGCGAGGAAGCGAATTCCTGGTTAGGTAAGTATAAATCGTAAAGGTCAAAGTATTTTGGAAAAAAGGAACCTCTTCTGAAAGAGAAACTTTTGTACAAGCAGTTATTGCCTGAACCACATAAGTGGATATTCCCTACTTTATCTTAATCTAAACGTTCATCTCAAATGGCCAAACTCATCATCCAATTTGAGATAAGAACATAAGCCGACCAAAAGTAAAAGTAAAGCTAAAGCTGTGTTGAAATAAGTTGACAACGACGGGATAACTCTACATTTTCTCCTTTATAACGCTTATTCAAACTTTGCAAGTTCAGCTTTTTCCTTGAGTTTGTCTCACTTTTAAATCCATACAACTCACCCTTTCTCCCGACGCGTTTCAACATTTCTTACATTCCTACACTTTTCCACACAACTGCCTTCGCCTATTATATCGTCGTTGGTTCACGGCTTTACGCCTAATTTTCCGAAATCATTAATCCACCTTTTTAACTCCTTTTCATAATATAGGTAAAATAGTGGCTTTAACACCATAACAAGATATTTACGAGATTAAATTAGGTGGGAATACGAAGAGGGCATTTTAAAACAAACTTCTGTGCTAAAAACTTATTTAATTAATTACTAAAACCCCATAGAGGAACCATATTCATGTGGTCAGATAGACACTCACCGAACAGAATCTTGCTGCTTGCCCTGACCAACTTTCCACCTAGACATATCACGTGACATAAGGCCGTCGTTGATCACTTCGGAAACTTCATCACCTGACAAGCTATCTCGTCGCCAAAATATCTGGACGTTAAACTATTATGTCTACATGAAGCTTTACCCTCGCACCACGTGGCATATTGAAAACGTTACACTGTATGACAACCTTTTCTCCAACTAGACCATTGATGAGGACTGTTTTGTTCTCCAAGTAAACTACTCTGCCCGTGTGTGCATCAGGCGTTTCATCATAAATTGACACTTCTGGAGTGACCACCTGCTCACAATACGCTGAAAATTATTATGAAGCCAAAATGAACGAACCATAAGAAGCAGTAAACAGAATCAACAGTAAGATCTTGTAAGGATATAACCAGATAGAGACCGGAAACGATGAAAACTCCTTCAGTATATCTGTATGGGCATGAGTCATATGCATTTTAAAAGGTTCGATTAGTTCCGAGTAAGTAGTGGGAGTATTTAATGGTATTTCTAAGACAGATTGAAGCCAGAAATGGGTAGAATTTCGTATTTGTAGAAGCTAAAAACAACCAATGTCCAAATATCTGGTTGGTTAAAACAAACTGCAGGCATTCCGTTTTCCATTGAATTTTCGCTTTCAAAATTGTAGCACATGTTCGTTGAATATTTTTAACTTCCAAATTAGTGGAACATGGTCCACTTAGGTACCCATCCAACAGCCAACACCAATATTGCGAGTAGAGGAATCGTGTAGTTTTTGGGCTCTCAGTTCTAGGTCTTGAGGCTTGGTTCTTTTGTTCGGTCGTACTCCTTCGATGGCCACAAAAGTCTTTGTGCCTTCCTGCCTAAAGATTTGGAGGTAGCGGTTGTCTATTTGAAGGTGTTTTATTTGCAAATCGTAGCTAGGTTTGTTTAGTAGGGGAGAGATGGAGCTGCTGATAAGATCAATCAACCGTTTGCCATTCCTGTTGTTGTAGGCACCTGCAAGTAAGAGTTAAGCGTTACTTAGGTGAGAGAAGCGAGGTGAGTGGGGAATGAGAAAAAAAGATGTAGAAAGTACTTTTGACTAGTAACAATATGGAGGAGAGATGCGTCTCACTGCAGATACTAGGGTTGGGAAATACTAGAGGAATTCAGGGATGGGAGGGCGTATTATCAGCTGCTACTAACAAATGTTAGTGACAAGCCATTTGCGCTCACATACCTACCTAGTAGTCGTTTGAAGGAGCTGACTGATGTAACTGTGGCCACTCCTTTCGGCAGAGCGTTCTACAAGGCGCATACTGAATGACAGGAGTTAGATTTAACTCTAGTCTTTGCCTTATGATGGGGCATGCAAGTGGGGTTTCCTACGGGGTTGCCGGTTTTGAACTGATTATGTTGTCCTATTTCGGTGGTCCACTTGATGAGTGATCCTATAGACTGTTATCAGATCACCTCGTTTCCTTCGATATCTTAGTATGAACAGGTTGAGTTTTCTGAGGCGTTGAGCATATGTTTTGCCTGTTAGCCCGACAACCAACTTTGTTGCTCTTCTCTGTAACTTCTCGAGAGTGCTTGCGTCCCTCCCTAGTGTTGGGGGGGGGGCTACTGCGTTAAATACCTCTGGGTGTGGTCTGATATGTTTTGAATACCACAAGGATAATAATCCTGGGGTTAACAATGCAAGCTGCCTTCTTAGAAAGTGCACAGTGACGCTCGCCTTAGCTGCCATTCCCTTGTAAATGCCAGTGTGTCAGGGAAGTTTAGTCTTAGATCCTTCCCTGTGGATACCTTGGTGATTGCATACTTGTTATGTGTGTAGGTGATTTTCATGGCCTCGCATGCGAAAATATTTCACCTTGCATTCCTTCAAGTTAAAGCTTACACGGTTTGCAGCTGACCAGGATTCCAGCTGCAACAGGTCGTTTTGGAGTATCCTAGGAACCTTTTTGTCACCTATCGTCTTCGATATTTTGATGTCGTTGGAGAAAACGAGGATAGATGAGGATATTTTAATGGGGAGGTAATTTATGAATGGTAAAAATAGGAGTGGCCCAAAGATCGCTCCTTGAGAAACTCCTGTTCTTGCATCCCCCAGGTTGGTTGAATTCTGTTTGCTTTGGTGCAGAATTCTCTGTCCTCTAGGTGTACTGTAAACCATGCTGAGAGTGGTTCAGTGATACCCACTTTTGCAAGTGTGGTAGGCATGGTGCGGTGTGGGATGATATCGAAAGCTTCAGTCAAGCTTAAGAAGATATAGTGAACTGGTTGTTTGTTGTTTCATCTAGTGGTTCAGTCGTCACAAGCGGTCATCAGTTTTGTGGCTCATGACCACCCAGTTCTGAAGCCATGCTAGGTGGGATGAACGATGTTTTCTCCCCAGGCAGCCCCAAACAACATCTGCAACCAGGCTTTCCAGCACACTGGAAAGTATGGGGAGTAATGCACGGGTTGTTTAGGTCTCCTCCCTCGAAGATTGGTGAAGGGACGACGTGTTGCCATTCTTTGGGGAGTTGACTGAGTTCCGACGAGTGCATTAACAGGTTGCGTGTGTGTGTGCTTAGCACTTCAGCACAGATCGTGGGACCACCGTCCTTATATCATCACAGCCCGGTGATTTCCGTATTCTCAGTGTTGAAAGTTCCATAAACACTTGAATTGACGAAATATTTACCTCCATCAGCTTTGTACCTCGACCCTGGCACTTCATTACATTACAAGATGTTGATAGTGGACGTATTACTGGGTTGAGTTGCTCACCAAATCGTTCTACTATCTCACTATAGTTCAGAGGTTCTCCGCCCGGCCCTGTGATCAGGTTTAATCCCTTATTCGTCGGTTTGCGTTGTGACATAAACCGATAAAGCCCTTTCGGGCTGCAACTTAGCCGCTCAGCCAGGTTGCCCTGGCATGTATATCTGTCATCACAAATTCTTATATCACGTAAGTTTTGTGATGTCTTGTAGCTGTGAAAGTCTGATTCTTTGTGTTACGTACGCCGCCGATACCATGCTTTCTCTTTCCTCCGTATTTAACTTCGGGTTGCGCGAGTTGCCAAGACCCTTTGAGAGGTGGCCGTCTGGTTTATTTCTGGACGCTTGTTGATAGCGCTCCAGATAACACCTTTAAGCTGGTGCAGTGTTCGTCTATCGATAGTGAGTGCCATTCTTGTGGCCATTTAGCCTTCTCGAATTCGTTGTTCATGAGACGGTAGTCTGCTTTTCGGCGACGATGAAACGCTTCCGGCCCAAACATTGGTGGTGTCTCTCTGGTTATCAGAGGGAATCTCATCGAAGTGTAGCCGCTTTTACCTAGGGAGGGTTGGACACAGATATTGTCCACCAAAAGATCAACGTCTGTCAGAACATAGTCGAGTGGTGATCCTTTTACACCTGGTCCGCATCTGGTGTTTTCCCCAACCTTCTCTATCAGTCCTGCCGCCATGAACTCATTTCAAAGCTGATGTTCGAAAGACTTATGCCCACATCTTACTTCACTCCCCGGTTTAGTGCCATAGTATTGAAGTCCCCAGCGAGGACTACGTGGTCATGGGCAGCCTAGGCGGTTGTCGAGATGACACTGAGCACTTGTGCCTTGTGCTCTGTTGTACAAAGGCGGAGCCTATATACCACTCCTATTAGGTACTTGTTTTGGTTTATGGTGAAATAGCACCATGGGGAGTCTGGTAGTAAACTGAACACACCATCAGCCGCTCCCTCGAATTTTAGATGAGTGCTTACACACGCGGCAACCCCCCGCCTTCTTCGACCCGCCTGTTCTTTCGGAACAGCGTCACGTCAGGCAAAGGCACTTCCCTACCCACGATGTCTGCTGACGGTTATGTCTCTGTGATGAGAATCATATCTGCTAGCAGGTTATGACACATTGCTTTAGGCTCCAGTATTTTACTCCTAAGGCCTCTTACATTGCAGAGAAGCATGTCAAGAAGCTACGTTCTGGGCCCAATGAGATATGGAGACTTGTTTAGAGGCTGATGTGCCGTTGCATCAGATTCTGATTGCCAATTCCTACTACCACTAATTATAATATATTTCATACAACATAAGTTACATAAAAACAGGCCAGTTTACAGGTTTGACCATTCTGGTAACGTGAACAAGCTGCAATGTACGATGTAAAGCTATACAATAGACACCGTTCTTTCCGGTACATAAAAGATGAGTCTAGAGTAAGAGCGTTAATGCTTTGCGGACAACAAAGAATGAAACTGATAAACACCAGCATAATTGTTCACCACACTGAAGCCAGCTTACTTCGAAAGTAGGAAATATTCGGCTTTGGTTTGAATCCTTCAATATTCTTGAAGGTAGGGCTGGTAGCGCAGCTGTGAACTTGGTCTTTATGTGTTCGTCATAGAGTCTAGATGGCATTGTGCGCGCTGACAAATTAAACTACTGGGATTCCATATGGATGAAGGACTGGCTGCGTAAACCCGAAAAACGAATAACAAAAGCGATCGGCGGAGGAAATTCAAAACAGGAGCACAGAAGTACGTCGACCATGATACATGTAGATGAATTCATTGTACTGACTGCAAAAGTTACTTGAAGAGGTATCCAAAACCTACTGTTTATAGATAAGCTCGTGGGGAAGAAGGTGAAGGTGCATACAAAAGTAGTGGAAACTAAACTGAAGCCGGAGATATCACTATGGAACAGGGAGAACAGAAGATTTCAATGAAGTTATAAACATTTAAATAGAACTCATGCTTTAAGCTGCGATGGTAACCACACTTTATATAGTCATGAGGGAGGGAAGATCATGGTGTTGCCTGTTGAGTGTTACCCTATCAGGACTATAGAAACAATATGGTGGTGCATAGTGAGCTGAGCTAGTAGACCTGGAGGACTATTTTTGGTAAGCTCATTCTTTTTACTATTATTTTGTCGTCATAAGTACAAGAGCCCTAGGTTTTGTAAAGATACCGCCATAAAGGCAAGGGTAGTTCAAGTCTATCTCCCTACTATCATGCCTCAGTTATCCCCATTTTCGCATACTTTCACGTCATTTTTTAATATTTTTGTGCCACGTTCAACAAAGTAGACGGTAACGAGAATATTTCCAGCTTACTGCCACCTGTCTAAGACCGTGCATACAACATTGACTCAATCGCCCCTTGGTATGTACCATACGTCAGGCAACGCTTATCACCATTATACCTCCACTCATGCAATAATCAGGATTGATCTATCACGCAGGACTGACCATTACTGTACAGCACAGACTTCTAGCTTATTACAAAGAAAAAAGGGAACGGTGGGTGGAATGTTTAGTTGTAGGAGGGGTTAAGGGTAGCCAAACTAAGGCAGCATCGAGATTAGGAACAGCAGCTAGCATCAAAAATAATGACACATATTCGCATAGAATATTATGTAGGTCAACAAAAACAACACCGTTTGATAAATATTTTGGTGGTTGCACTGGATTATTGCGCAATTGACTCTAGATATTTGGTGGGCCAATAAGGAACATGGTGTCGTCTATGTAGGGTACATTAAGAATCCCGCACACTCCAAGCTCATTGGGGTGGTGGCTCAGGGTCGACTGAAGTTGAGATATGGTCTTCCAGCATCGGACATCATGCAGCAGTCTGCTCCAAATGTTAGCGTAACCA